TTTCTGCTTTTGCAGAGGATTTAGTTTGCAACACCCACAGGGTGGCTCACAACCATCTCTAACTCCAGTTCCATTGGATCTGATACCATATTCTGACGTCTAAAGGCACCAGACTCACATGGTAGACATACATACACATAGGTAAAAACACTCATACATATAAAAAATCTAAATTTTAAAAAATATTGCACATGCCATTAATCCTAGCACTCAGGAGGCAGAGGCAGGCAGATTTTTTATTTCGAGGCTAGGCTGGTCCACGGAGTGAGTTTCAGGACAACCAGGGTTACACAGAGAAACCCTGTCTCAAAAAACAAGTGTGTGTGTGTGTGTGTGTGTGTGTGTGTGTGTGTGTGTGTGTGTGTGTGTATTGTAGAGGGAAATCATAAATGAGGACAGGCAAATACAGAAATGGAATGCAAAAATCCAGATCTACTCATGTAGATAATGAATAGGTAAGTAGGGAAAACAGAAGGGCCTTGTTCACAAGAGAATGCTGTGGGCTGAAAATGTGGAGAGGCTAATAGATTTGTTCAGTCATTTTGCCTCCATCATGTAAACTGTATCAGTAATTATGAATGTTGAATATGAAGGAAACTTCTGATGACTAGGATACAATGTCAAATGGCTCCTCACAAATTGCATTCTATTTCTAGAAAGGGAAAAACAAAACACAGTAACAACACAGTGGGAAGTTTGGGTCACATATTGATAAGGTGACCAAAATGACAATCATCAGTGAGTGGATGGATATCATGTATGTTCTAGACGTGATACTCTGAGAAACAGGTAACAGAATCTGTGCAGTTGTCAGTTGACAATGCATAATGTCCATCTAATTGTGAGGAAACATCAAACACAATGAATATTCTAAAAAAGTGTGTAGTTCCCTTCAAATACAGCTTGAAGCTATGTCCTTCTGATCCATCAAGGACTTAAAAGACAAAGACTGAAAGTTTTCCAAAGCAAAGGGTGCAGAGAGAGACAGAGACAGACAGAGAAACAGAGAGAGAGAGAGAGAGAGAGAGAGAGCGCGAGTGAGATATGCTAATTAAGTGCATCAACTGTCCCAAGACAGGCTCCTGTAAGGGAGGGAGGAACACTATAAAGGGCCAGCCTCAAAAATTATAACACGATGGTAAAAATACATTCAAGTGTAAGCTTAGTTTATCAAGTTGTCATGAAATACACTCCCAGGGATAAAGAATCGAACAGTCAGGACCCATGTTTGCCTGAGAAAAGTTCAGGGGCGGGGAGGTAGGGTTAAAATACATGTGTATTTGGAGAGAAAGTGAACTCCTCCTTCCACAAGAGGCAGCAAATGACATGAATGATCTTTTAGCTTTTTGTAACTTTATAAATTTGAAATTATTTGTTGTTTTTTTTTACTTCTAGTTCATTTTTAAGAAACAACAGAAAAGGGGTCTTGAAAACTGCTAAATAAGCTGGGTGTAGTGGCGAACTGGGGAAGCAAAAGCAGATAGATCTCTTCGAATTCTAGGCTAATCTGGTTTACACAGTGAATTCCAGGACAGCCAGAACTACACAGTGAGAGCCTGTTGGGGCTGGGAGTGGATGAAAAGAAAGAAAACTGCAAACTGCTAAATAGTTTTTAAACAATTTGCTTGTGTGTTCTGTTTTCAAGTTACTGTTCAAAATGTTTTCTGATTCTGATGTCTGTTTCTTTTTGAATTATGATGCTTTTATAGTTTTAACTAAATAAGTTGGTATGTTGAAGCCAGAATTCCATCAGTTGTAGCTTACTCATTAGAAACAGTATGGGGGGAGGGTCACTGAGATTTCAAGAACTTTTTCCAAAAAAAAAAATCCACATTTACCATTCATTTGCTGGTAATTGCATTCTAGTTTACAAAAGCAAAAGCCTCAGATTTTTAACTATGACTTGGATTCTACTCTATGACAAGAGCACACAGAGCTAAAACTGAGTGGGAGGAAGTAGACAGGACTCTCTAGTCTGATAAGGTGTAGCATGTTTTGTAGTTGTAAAGTTCAAATTGAATATTCTTCCAAGGTTTTTTACTCATGAGGGTGATGATTGATGTAAAATCACTTTTTTCCCCCTTTGAAACTTAGCCCAGGAATTTGCACCCTCTTGTGGTGGAAAGTAATTTTTCCCCACTGACTTTCTGTTCAGGCACAAGAATTCTGTAACTAGATTTTGGTTTCTCCCATTTTAGTGACTCAGTAAGGATTTATGGTTTGCTACATAAAATTTTATACAAAACTGGACAAATACTCTAAAAGAGATGGCCACATAAATTATAGTCTGAGCAAAATGTAGGTAGCAGAACACTGCTCAGCATGTCACTTCTTGATCTGATTGTTAAAATCCACTTCTCTTCCAGTTGTACCTCAATAATGCAAACCATGGCAGCCTTCTCCTATTCCCTTAGTCTTTAAATCTTAAGGAGGTCTCCTATCTTCTGTTTTAACACTCATAATAACAGGATACATCTTTTTATATTCAAAACTTACACTTCTTTGGGGTGTGGTGGCACAAGCCTGGAATACCAACACCCAGGAGACTAAAGCTGGAGTATTATCAGTGTGGGCTACAAAGTTGAGTTCTAGGCCAGCCTGAACTCTATAAAAAGATATGGTTTTTAAGTTATGATTCATCGCAAGTTGTTTATAATAAAAACTAGAGCAAACATAGCCAATATTTGTGGTTTTTAGACAGTTGGGTTCTTACAAAAAATTAATTTGATAGGGCTGGAGAAATGGCTCAGCAGTTAGAACAATTGTTAATTTTGCAGAGGACAGGCTTGGTTTTAGCACCCACATTGTAGATCATGACCACCCAACCTCATGGAACTCCACACCCTCTTCTGACATTTGAGGGCACATATGGGATGCACATACATATGTGTAGACAAAACACTCATGTAAAGGAAATGATTTTTAAAAATCCATGAGAATTTAAAAAAATGTAACTAAACATAACCCTAAAGTCTAGTCACTTAGAGCAATAACAGTTTTTCTTTTTAAAATTTTCGTCTTAATTGCCCAAGTGGCAGGAAGGATGTCTTGCAAGCAAATAATCAAAAGATGCTTTTGTAAGAAAAGTGTTAAAATAGTAACTTATTTTTTTTTTGTCCTGTCACAGAGCCGTTTTAAAAGTCGGTTTGCCTAGCTCCTGTACTCTCACCAGCTGTTAAGACGGCAGCGTTTCTAATCTGAACATCAGGTATCATCTGTAAAACAAAAATACTATCTACTTCATAGAGGTGTTGTGGGCAGTGAAAACGTCTTATCCACAAAGCGCTTGACACAGTAGGCACTATAGTATCAGTACCCCGTGGCTCTTTACAACTTTCTCAGGGCTTCATACAACGGAAAGCTATCTTTGTGAATCCATAATTTACTACACCATTTAATTTTTTTGTCTTGTTTTTGAAAAGCACCCTAGTGACGTCCAAAAGATTGTACATCTCCGTCTCCAAACCAGAACCGAAAGCTCGGGTGAAAGGCTTGAGGACGGTGGGCGGGTCGCGCGCCTCTGGAGGGAGGAGAGAGTCGGCGGGTGTGACAGCCGCGCACTGGCCGTCGGACTGAACCGTGAAGTCCCTACCTCGTGAGGTGGTTCGAGGCTTAGGTGCGACAGATCTGTGAGGCGCTGGTGGAGGGCGAGGGCTCCACAGCGGCGCACTCTTAAGTTCCAGAGCAGCCATGCAAGCCTCAGAGGCACCGTCGGTGGTTAGGAGTCTATTTAAAGGCGTTTTTTGTTTGTTTTGTTTTTACGAAACGCTTAAGATGGACCCTAATTTGTTTCCTCTCAAAGGTAGAGAACTTGTGTGTCCCCGGAGTGGTGTCTGAAAGGTGAACATCTCCACCGCGGCACAAGGGCGACGCTGGCACACACGCACGCG